ATGTCGGCTGTCAAAAGGAAATTAAACAATACAAAACTGATTAAGAAATGTCAGATCATTCGAGAAGTTGAGAAGGGAATGACCAACAAGGAGGCCTCAGAGAAATATGGTGTACCGAAAATCTCCACCTGGATGAAAAACAAAGAGAAGCTGCTTCAAGGGTTGGAGCAAAGTTCTTGAGAAGCCAAGAAAATGCGAGGGTGTGATTTTGAGCAGGTCGACAAGGCAGTTCAGCAATGGTTTACGCTTCTACGTAGCCAAAACGTACCGGTTGATGGCCAAATACTGAAAGAGAAGGCATTACAATTCGCTAAAAGCTTTAATTTTCCGACCTTTAAAGCATCAGATGATTGGCTGGACAAGTGGAAAAAAAAGGTAAGAAAACAACATTTATACTGTAAAACCACAATCTTTTAAATTTCGTTGTTTTACAAAAACCTTTTAAACTATATTTTGCTGTTTTAATATATCCACCATCAATTTTTGGCCTGAAAGGTGTAAAATACAGGTGACTTGCATTCCTTCGCCATCACCAAGATTAACTGCCTTTCCAGTTACAGTTATGCTACATTTCTCATAGGGATCAGTACGAAGGAAGTGAAAGATTGTTTTTCAAAGTTTCCATTCTCCCCTAATGGTACATGTCCCACCACTTGTTTATTCTTTCTTACAGCTACAGCATGATTATCAATAGGGTTATTATTCTCAGGTTGAAAAATATTCGATTTTGAGAGATAACATTCGAATCACAAGTGAGTTCGATAATTAAGGGTTGACTTACACTTGCTTTTACTTTATTTTTTAGGCACAACATTTCGTTGAAAACCATTGGTGGCGAATTTAAGTCCGTTACTCCACAAATGACCTGTTCTTGGAATGAAACAACTTTACCAACAATTCTGTCAAACTATAAGCTGGAAGATATTTTCAATGCTGACGAGTTCGGTCTTTTCTACCAATGTCTCCCAAATAAAACCTATCACTTCAAAGGAGAAAAGTGTTCCGGGGGGAAGAAAAGCAAAGTCAGGTTTACCGGAATGGCTGCAGCAAGTGCGAAAGGAGAAAAAATGCCTATGTTCGTGATCGGAAAGTCGAAAAGTGCGCGATGTTTTAAGAATATCAAGCATCTTCCTACCCAGTATATATCGCAAAAAAAGAGCTGGATGAGCAGCGAAATCTTCGAAGAATGGGTACGTAAAGTCGACCGAAAATTCCGGGTAGATGGTCGAAAAATTGCTCTCATTATCGACAACTGCCCTGCTCATCCAACGTTGTCCAATTTGACCAACGTGCAGCTTGTCTTTCTACCACCAAATACGACGTCTACCTTGCAACCAATGGACCAATGTGTCATTCGCAGCCTCAAAGCGTATTATCGCGGAAAAGTTGCACGTCTGATTTCCAGAGCTCTCGAAGAAAAAAAAGCCTTGTCCAAAGATATCAATTCTGCAAGGAATGAAGTTACTGGCAGATTCTTGGGAACTCGCATCCAAAGAAACCATTGTAAACTGTTTTAGGAAGGCTGGTATCACAACTGGTGGTCAACAGGCTGCCATTGATGATTCTGATGACCCGTTTAAAGATCTTCAAGAAAGCTTGAATAACTTGAGGAAAGCAGATTTATCAATGGTGCCGAATGATGTCACCGCCACTGCTTTAGTGAGCTTGGACGACGACGTCATTGCAACAGCCCCTAAGATGAATGAAGATGATATCGTGAGCAGGCTGAAGAACCAAGAAAACGAAGAGGAAGAGAGTGGTGATGAAGAGATCCAAGGTGGAGAGATGTTTGACCCTGTGGCGGAAAAGCCTTCGAGATCTGCGATTGAATCAGCTTTAGAAGTTTTGAAAGATGCTGTCATGTTCAGTGACAAAGTGGACAAATGAAAAGAGCGATTTTTGATTTTGAACGGCTTTATGAAAGTGATCGAGCGGAATCTCTTTAGCAAAGACATTACACATTGTTTTAATCCTGTATCGAATTTGAAATTTCTGATTGTATAATCTTTTGAGGACTGAAAATTGAAGTCTAAAACATCTTTAATTAACTTTTATCAACCCCCTGTTTCTGTATCAGCAAAAAAAAAAAAAAAATTGAAGCAATTTTCTCTATCTCAAACAATTTTTTTTGTCCCTTGCGAGTTCGAGATAGAGAGAGTCCACTGTATGTCCTTCCCCAGATCCCACCTTCCCTGATGAACCATCTGATACTACACCTTCACTCTGATATCCTATCTCATTCCCTATGTCGTAGACACTCGAAGGCTTAGTCATTATCACGCGAACAACACCAGGGCGAAGAAAATGCTATATGAACGGGTGAAATAAGCTGGGACGAGACACAAAAAATAGAATAACATTGCGAAGACTCGAGCTGATTCTACACAAAAAATGTGGTTAAGAGGACAAGACACAGATACAAAAATAGGAGCACCCTATTACTCAAAGTGGCGAAACTATCTTGTGACTAACAGAAGAAAAACAGAAATCTTAAGTGCGAAACAACAAGCAGTTCTAATCAATCGCAATAAAGATCATAGTGAATCAATTTGGGAACAAGAAATGAACTCGAGTGGCAGGTAGAAAATGTTAGAAGTGACAAATATAGTGTTAAAAATGTGCTTGGATATAGAAAAAAAAAGAAAATTAAGATTTTTATGAACATGTAATGAAACAATTTGATTATCAAATTTAACTAATGTTGTGGCAATATTGTGTTAATAGTTGATGGTTAAAACAAATAAATGTACTTGACATCAAAATTATATTTCAATATTGCATTGGATATATATGTTTTAACAGTTAATGAGAATAGGTAGGTTAGTTTATAATTGTAAGTAAATAATTAAGTGCTCAGCTCAGCGGAAGTGCGTAAACAATGAAGAGTCCTGTTATTTTCCGACGGACCGGAAGATTGATTTTTTGTCTATCAAGTGTTTGCTTTTGTCATGATTATTACTTTTACTCACTTGGTGTTTGTTTTTTATATTTACATAGAAATACAATTTGATTTGTGTTTGTTATAATAAACCTTTTTTTTCTTATGATTATTTTTCTTTTAGTATAACATCAATTCACTGAGCATGTTTATAATAATCAAAGTATTTGCTTGTCCAGTGATCATGATTATTTTGTGTAATATCTAATTCATTATTAATTTTGCGATAGTGAATAATTCATCATTTTTATGAATGCCATTTATAACATTTGATTCATGAAGAGATGACGTAGTTTTGCATATAGTTGATTTTGTTTTTATCAAGTTTCAAGACTGATAATTATATAACAGTGTGTCATAACTGCCTATTTGTTAAGAAGTTAAGAACCTAAATAATGTCTTATCTATTTTTTGTTTCGCGTACATTTTGGTATCGTAATTTTATTGTATTGCATTGATAATATTCAGTTAATAAATGTATTGATTTTTTACAAAGATTTAACTCAAACCTTGAATTGCACTAGTTAATGATATTGATATTATTACTTTGGAATCACTGATTAATTATTCAATGTTAGCTATAATTAATGAAAGCATTTAAACATCTTTAATCACCATAATAAGTTTTGATTCTGAAGAGTATTTAATAAAATGTTGTGGAATAGGGCTACAACACCTACGCACTCCTCCTCCTACTTCTTAGACATCCGTCTCTACCGTTATCTTCTATTGATTGATCTACAATGACTCTTCTACAGTGGAACATCTGAGGTTTTCGTATTCATAGACCTGATCTTCGTCATCTCATATCTTCCTACAATTCATCTATTATATGTCTCCAAGAAACCACCCTAACATATCCTCCATTACCGATTCCAGATTATCATTTTATATTGTACCCCCTCTCTCTTTATATCTCATCTATACTCATCCATCAAAAACACCATACACTATACCTCTCTTCCAAACCACTGTCCCTTGCACAATTATACGCATCTTTCTTGGCGTACTTTTACCTCTCTACTCTCCCTCCTCCTCCTCCCTCCATCTTCCTTCTCTTCCACATCAGACTTTCTTCCACATCAGTCATATACATCAAAATGTATGCTCTAAACCACTTTGATTGAAGCGTGCGGTATGGAATAGTTATTGCTACTAATTAAATACCCCAGCCAAACATCAACCTTTATAGATTTTAAAAGAGCATCAGCTCAACTACGTCACATAATCCGAATGCAAAATTACGTCTCCACAATTACCTCCTCTACACCTATTTTTACTTTATGGTGTAAAATCCATAAACTATCAGTCCTCCATATCCGTAACACTCTCACTGCTGCGTATTTCAGCCAGGTCAATAATGACACTCCCGTCTCCTTATCCTTATCTTCTACAGAAATCTACAATGCCCCCCTAACTTCAACTGAGCTCCTTTCTCTCAGTACACATGGAGGACTTGACGGCATTCATTACTGTATGCTACGACATCTTCTATCTATCCCCTTATCCTTCCTACTGACAATTTTTAAAAATATGTGGAAGACTGGAAATTTTCCTAATCATTCGCTCGAAGCTCTTATTCTACCTTTCTTTAAACCTGATAAATTCGGCACTCTCTTTCAAGACTACCGGCCCATTGCTCTGTATAGCTGCTTGTGCAGTTGCTTGAGGGAATGGTCAATCTACGATTAATGTGGTACCTTGAATCTAACATTCTTCTATCTTCTTTCCAGTTTGCATTCCGTCTTGCTCGAAACACAGCCAACCCTCTGGCACATTTAGAAAATTACATAAAATATGCCTTAGCACGCCATAACTCAGTACTAACCGTTTTCTTCGACCTGGAAAAGGCATATGACACTATATGGCGATACCACATTCTGAGCCAGCTATCTTCTCATGGCACATGTGGTAAGATGGGTGTATTTATTAAATCTTTCCTTTCTAATCGTACTTCTTTAACTTCTTCATTTTTTCCTCAATATGAAGATATCCCACGAGGGAGTTCCTTTTAGACATAAATGGCTTAATTTCGGTATTACCACCAGGTATCTGATCCATCCTGTTAGTAGATAATTTTATCAGTCTGCAATATCATTAATCTCCTTCGCACTGACCGTGGCTCCTGCTTTTCCACATCCAAATCCTTCTCCATCCTTTTTTCTCGATCACTTATAAGTCCTCAACCGCCACTCTCTTAATATAATTCCCCTCTCTCCATTTTCACTCCTCAGGCAAATTCCTCGGAGTCAATTTTGACTCCAAACTTTCCTGACGAGACCCCATCCTCTACACCAAAAAGAAAACAAGCCATCACTAGCGACTCCTACAGACTCTCCGTCATATATCCTGGGGTTCAGACCGCAAAACTCTCCTCCATCTCCATAAACTATCAGTCTGAGCCTCTCCACTCTTGACTATGGCTGTCATATCTATTCCTCAAACTCACCTTGATACCATCCACCATTGTGGTCTATGCTTAGCCCTTAGCATCTTCTGTTCCTATCCGGTTGAGAGCCTATATGCTCTAAACTATATGTCCCTCAATCCCTTCTGCCTACCTTTACCTCCTCTCCACGCTCACCCTCTCCTTTCTCTGTCCGGATGGACGCACTTCTCTCCCATTCACGCTATCTTCACCTCTGATCCCTACCTTTTTCTACCCATAAATACCCACCTTGGTTTATACTTTCCCCTCGTATATACTCCGTTTTCCCTATACACCAAAATCAGTCACCTTCCATTCTTCTCACTCATTTTCTTAACCATGCCTCAACCCAATCCTCCTCTTGGTTAATACCATTCCCTAAGAACTGACGCTGGGAAACTGCTCTTGCCCCTTAACACATTGGACACACTCGCCTCATTTCTTGTCACAATCTGATCCACGTCTATGCTCTTCACGTAATGTTCATCTTTCAGTTCCATATATCCTTCTATGCTGTCCCCGCTTTACAGCAACCCGCATCTGGAAACATCTATGTAAACATTGAGTAAATAATATTTTTTATGAATGAGGCGAAAACCCTAGGTTGTTTGAGTATGACTGGTATAACATAAATGAATAGTGTATTAGTATCTTTTTTTTTTTGGAAACAACGTAAACCATTTCATCTTTCGTCTTCTTCAAACAAGTGATAGCAAAACATGTAGCTATCACTTTGTTTGTTTTTAATATTTTTCAAATGCGATTTCCCGGAATTGTTTGTTTATCGAGGCCACATTCTCCCTTCTTTCAAAACAGCAAGTATCAATTATAAGTGCATATTTCTTGAAACTTGAAAATGCTACATGCTTTAAAAATCTATGTATGGCAGCTGTATCAAATAAAAATCTTCGCTGGTACCTTTCTAAATGGTTTTCGTAGCTGCACCATCTAGCAACGGCTAATCGAACTAATGGAGAGACCATTTTTTTCGTCTGAACTAAACATTAAAACACTGATTTAATGCTACATTATATTTTTCAATATAGAACATTAGTTGAACGCAAAACCGCAGTAGGGTTACATGAATATGTAGATATTTTCACTGTGTGTGTGTGTGTGTGTGTGTGTGTGTGTGTGTGTGTGTGTGTGTG